TAGAGCAATTATGACTGTCAATGAACATCAGAGCATCCCACATGGAGTCCACATCTGTCTGCTGTCCGTGGGGGGATGGCAGCTGCTGGATGGGTGACCAACAGGGACAAGTAAAAAGCTGTGACACGTCCCCATTTTGGGTCCCAACATTCCCCCCTGCCTTAATTTAATGAAGTAATTAGCTAATTTGGTTTCTTTATACCTGTGGCTTTAACACCCTGGCTCCATCCGTGATGCAAGTGGTCCAGGCACTGCAGGTTTGGGAGCATCTTCTAAGAACCACTGAATAAAAGCCAGCAATCTGCATGATGAATTAATCAGGCTAGATAATTAAGCTAGACACATCCAGCCTTCAAAAGGAAAAAGTCCCCACTTAACACCTTTTAAATTCTAGGGTAATTATCAGCTCACTATGGCAAATCCCAGATAATGCCATTAATGTCAGTAGTTACAACTGCAAGTTGTCTTTTTTTTTTTCTTTTTTTTTTTCTTTTTTCTTTTTCGCTTTTCTCTTTGTTTTTGGTGGGGTCGTGGGCGTTGTCGGTGGTCTTGTTCTTTGTGTGGGGTTGTTTTGTTTTTGTTTCTGTTTTCAGCGGTCTTCTTTCTTTCTTCTTTATTTTTTCTTTTCCCTCTTTCTCGTCTTGGTTCTTTTTCTTCTTCTTCTATTTCGTCTTTTTTTCTTTTTCTTTCTTTTTCTTTTTCCTTTTTTCTTTTTTTTTCTTGTTTCTTCTTTTTTTTTCCTATATTCATTTTTCTTCTTTCTTTTTTCTTTTCTCTTTTCTCTCTCTCTCTTTTTTTTTTTTTTTTTTTTTGTTATGAGATTGACTATGTAATTTCTGGGAATAGTCTCCATGCTGGCACATGATCTGCACCCACAACCTTACTAGTTCTCTTCTTCAGTGTGCCACAGGACCTCGTGAAGCTCAGCATCCCATCCCCCAGGACTTACCACACATTTAAATACCCCAGTCCCTTTCAGTCAATATTGATATTCTGTTTTAAGACGGTCGAACAGAAGAACAGGGATGCTAAGTGTGTTCCCTGCATCACACGGCAGCTTGATGGCAGAGTGGAAGTGAACCCTTTTGCAACTCAGAACGGCACTCAGTATTATAACTTTTTTCTTTTTTCCTGACTTTAATCATAAAAGGCAAAAGGAGAAAGTGAATTTGGACTCAAAACCACACCAGTTTTAGGTACAGCTTGTCTTTTAGTGGGAGTAGATGAAGAGAAGGAAGAGGCACGCCAGCTCCCTTTCTCAGGTCTGTTATTCAGAGCTATGATATCAGCCTCGGGGGCCAGCCCAAGCTCTGGATCCCACCTTCTTTTCCTGCAGTCACGGGTTTTAAACTCAGATTTAACGTGTTGTGTCAGCTCAGGAGATACACCGACCACATCTGCCAGCCCCAGCGCTGATATCCCACGGTTGTTTGGCAAAGCCCCACCTATCCCGTGCAGCACTTCCCTTCTGATAACAGTAGCAGATACACGGAGCGAAATAATGGAAAGGGGGCAAAGCTCCCTAATTCTCACCATTATCTCAAGGGCAGCCTGTCAAAACAGGAGTTTGCTGATATTTTCTCCCAAGCTCCTCCCCTGAGATACGCCGCGGAGCATCCTTGGAATTTCCCCGCACTTGGCCACTGCCCTGAGCTGTCGTGGGAACGGGGTGAAGTTGGGAAGGTGTCGTTTGGGTGGAAAGCTCCCCAGCTTGGTCAGGAAGGAAAAAAAAAAAAAAAAAAAAAAAAAAAAAAAAGAAAAATGATGAGGATTTGTTGAAGCCCTTTGCTGAGCTTATTGTAATGGTGGAGATTGTAGCCCTGAGACTTCAAGTTCCCCCACAAAGCTTATGTGGGGCATGCTCCTGCCTGTCCTGGGGGGGAGAAGGACTCTTAGGGAAGGGACTAGTCCCTATAGTGATATAAATGGAGGAAAAAAAGCCATTTTGGACCAGTTTTCAAATCTTGAGCACAGGAGCTTGGAGCCAACACCTTCCCCAGTCATACAAGCAATTCCTATGACTTTCCTTATCTGTTTGCACCTATCAAAAGGGTGCCTTGCTCAGACACCCTGAGCTCTATATGATATCCTACAGCCCTTTGTGCTGGCCACAAGGTGCTTTGAAAGAAATCCTGCCCTTAGTCCACAGCACATGTTAAGCGTGCATGAGATCCAAGGAGAACAACCCCCTGGAAAAAAAAGCCAAGAGACCAACAGGGAAATGGGAAGGGGATGAGAGTCAAAACATCAGATTAAGCAACAAATGCTCCGAAATAGGAGCAAGGATGGATGACAGCACGTGTTTTATTCCCACTCTAACAGCTGAAAAAAGGGAGATAGCTGAGAAAGTTCGCCTGGACTTACAACACGAGGACTACCTCTGTCTTCCAACAAGACATATTATTAATGAGAACCAAAACCCTACAAACTATAGTGACAAGCAGGTTTGGTCCCAGCTTGATTTCCACCTCGGTCTCTCTCCAACTCATGCAGTGCACTGTGAAGCCAGCAGAGACATCTAGTGGCAAAAATAACACAAAGATGTGCAGGGGAAAATACGGGAGTGCTTGCTTCATCTCACCGACAGCTCGATTATCGCCAGCTTTCCAGGACACATAAAAAAGACCGGTTGAGGGCTGAAGGTTGTATTTTTAACTGATCTGTTGAAAAATGTATTGGAACGATGCTTTCCTAATTCTCCCAAACCCCAACTTTATGGAGATAAAACACCTCTACAACTACTGTGCTTCCTGTCTGTCCTCAGTCTCCCAGAACATTGTTTGCCCCCATCCTCTCTTGTTTTTGGAGGAGCTTGGAGCTATGGTGTCTGGTTCTGGTTATGTTCTTTGCTCATGTGTGAAGGTTTCTGTATGCCATTGCTGCTGGGCTGATTGATGTGATCTTGTTATCCCTTCGCAGAACAATTTTTTTTCCATCTGTTCTTCGCAAATATGTTTTTTGTTAAGAGCTTTTCAGATTTTGGCTTTGATGGCACTGGGTTTTGTTTAAAGACTCACATTACCTATTATGTTGAACATCTTTGTGCAGCTGTTCCATTTAGTCCCAGTCTGTTCTGCGCTGGACACAAACCAGCCACTCTTCAGCTATGGCAACTTAAAAAAAAAAAGGGAAAAAAAAAGAACAAAAAGGAACATTATGAGTATAATAAGCAATGGCAAAATTCAACTTCTTAGTGGAACAGGTATTACAGCCAATTTACCTGCACTGAAAATGTGGCCAATCTTCATGAAAGCCTGTGGTCCTTAGTCTAGATTTATTTTACAGTCACAGAAAATGGATTAAAACATAAGGCTGCAAACTAAAGATGAAAGTCGTGAACGTAACCTGCCAGTCCAGGTATAAATTTCAAGTTTTATGATGAATTTGCATATTTCAGGTACATCTCATGAAAGACATTTGGCCAATGACAGGAGATCGTTGCTGTGACAGTAAAACAAGACGAGAAAATCGGGACCCTGATGTTTATGGATATGTAGCCGTGTTCCTACAGTGCTTGGAGGATTTAGGAACATCAGAGAGTGAGGATGTGATTGTAAGCATCCAAGAGCTAAAGGAATCAACCTAGCAGCTTGCTTAGCAAACCCCTGCTCATCACCTGGGCTCCAGCACCCAACCATGCGTGTGGTCCTTCCCCGACCCACGTAGAGTTTCAGGTCTTAGCTCATCGAATGCCAATCACCTGCAGGCTCTCCCACGAGTAAATCAGTTTTGAAAAGCAAATTCAGGCTCTGAAGTCAATTAGGCATCACAAAGTCAGACTCTGCAACACCTAATCTCCTGCTGGTTGGGCCAAAGGGGGAGTTAGGGATCTCCAAAGCAGTTGAGACCAGATATTTGATTTGATTCCATACCAGCTGTGAAACATTAGAAGGTTTGGAGGATTCAGTGGAAAATGAAGGCAAAATTAGATTATTTTTTTTTTGAGTTACCCTTTCAACTTTGGTAGCAATTTTTTTTTGGAGGCTGGGGTGGATATTTTTGGTAGTGGTTGCTGACACATTAAGTTTCAACGAAAAGCATCACTTTTACAAGTAGCATCCACATCAAATCCACAAAGCAAATGATGGAGACCATTTTAAAATCACTTGAAACCTTTCAGCCATGCTCGCAGGTATTCTATCGAATATTCTGGTCTAGTAAACCACTGCATGGACACTGCTACCTTCCCCATCAAGTCCTTGTCCCCAAGCCTGCTAATTCCAGCAGCATTTCTCTGTAGGTTGTAATCCAAGAACAGGGTCTCTGCAGCTCAGAGCCATACACTAGTGATGCCTACGTCTCTTCTAGTAGCTGAGATGATTCAGCAACTGTTTTCTGGCCTGGAAAAGCATTTACACAGCACAGCCCATCTCCAAGCACCCAAATACTCACCAAAACATGGTGGTTTCAACCATGCCAGCCTGGGAAGTGTCAGAAAGCAGGGACAAAATCACGCTGCCCTCCATCCCAGGAGCAGAGACCCTGCTTGTACAAGTTTTTTCCCACTCTGAGGCTGCTTGCATCTCGTCATGCCAGCCTGCCTCCAGCTGCTTGCTGTACTTCTTTGCATTTAGCGACTGTTTGCACAGCAAAAACAAGGGCTGGTTTGTTATTGTGGGTCTTTTGTTTGTTTGGTTTGGTTTGTTAAGCTACCTTTGGGTTAGGCACGTGCCAAAAATATAAATAAAGAACCAGTGTCACAACACTTTCTAATGCTAAGCTGTAAAATTGCCATTCAGGGACAAATTTAGAGAAATTCAGCGCTATTCCTAATGCATTAATCTGGAACCAGCTTTAGCAATCAATCCCTAAAGACAGGCAAAGAGAGAACTGACAGACAATCTCTGAACCTTCAGAATCAGGCCATTTCTCTAAGGATTGAGATTTGGGTACCAAAGCATACAATCACTCATTGAACAGCGAGAAAGCGAGAATTTTATTCTCATTTCTAACCCAGTAAACCCCACTACTACTATCCTTAAAGCCCCTTTGGGGGTGTCCCAGTGCTGTGATTTCTCAGAATGGCTGGAATCCTCAGAAATCTGAAAACACATGAAAACAAAACAAAACAAAACAAAACAAAATAAAATAAAATAAAATAAAATAAAATAACATTTTGATGGCAACCAATTTCAAAGGCAGTAGCCACGAACATCTAGAGAGAAAAACCTTTCCACAAGGGCTGCAGAACAACCAGCTGAAATCCGAGGCATCCACGATCAGCAGGCTCATTAGAAAATCTGGATGCATTTGCCCGTGGCAGATGCTGTCCTTCCTGGCTTGCCGAGAGCATCCCTGCTGCTGCTGAGCACATTTCGATTAATGCAAAGAAGGTGAATGCGTGTAACTGCAGGTGGCTCTCTGTGGTAGGCAGACAGCTCCGCGGAGCCACGCTGAAGGCTGCCAAGGAGGAATTCGGAGTTGTCTCTGTTTGCACAGAAGGCCCTCAGTGACTTGGAAAGCGTAGCAGAAGGAAATGTTTTCCCCGTGACATGCTAGGGGCTGCCTACGAGCAGCATCCTTCCAGCAGCTGGGCTTGAGACACGCTGTCAGCAGCCTGGGAGTCCTGTTGGGCTCCCAGCATCCAGAGTGAATTTGGAGCAAGAAGGCAGGGACAAAGAGCCCTGTACCTCTGGTCATGCCTCAGCGGGTCCTCGTGTAACTGGGTTGGAAGACTGAATCCTTTAGAATATATTTAATTTGAGCTGCTTATTGCGAATATTGGCTACTTTCGGAGAACTATAATGAGAGAAGACAGAGCTGGGTTCCCAGGTTGACATTTCCACCGTGCTGGGACATTGGGAATGAATTTGCCTTTCAGTATTGCCGCGTTCAGGCAACATGAAGGGGTGGCTTGGAGGTGCTGCAGGACACACGAGGCTCTTTCCAGTGTTCCCATCGTTCACAAAACCCACCTAAGGGGGGATCTGAGCCTTCCTTTTGAACCGAAGCATTAAAAGCAGTTTGTTTTGGCCTCCTCAAGAGCCGCAGGCCAAGCGAGCTACAGGCGTTTGTTCCGAATCCATAAATCTCACAAGCCATAAAGTGGTTTCCTAATCCTTTTATTTTACAGGGCACACATTTTCCCCGCGAGCTGTGCCCCTTCTTAGCTGCGATTTGGGGGAAATCTGCAGAAGGAAACTGTTCCAGCTGTTGGAGCTGGCTTTCTCCAGCTGCTGCATTTTCCTCGTTTTCTGGGCAGCCTGCTTGCACAAATGAGGTGCTCCAACCTGTCACAGCTACCCTGCAGGAGGAAAAGAAAAAAAGCATCAGCAGCACCACAATTGAGTCAATATTGGAGCCAAATAAAACCCACTGTGGAAATTCATTTGATGAATCTTTCTCCTTAAAAAAAAAAAAAGTCTGAGAAATGAAGCGTTTTGTGGAGAAAAAAAAGGGGGAGGGGGGACACACCTGAGCAAACAGCTTTTAAGATCCGTGGGTCATCTTCCCAGTAGGCAGGATCAAAGTGACTCTGTTGGAGTGCCTGATGGAAAAGCCACACATAAAATGGGATCCTGGAGGTTTAGGAAACAAAAAAAGAGAAAAACAGGGAAGGGCTCTGCTGAAGTTCCCTGTGACCATCACTACTACAGCAAAATCCTGCCCTTACCCAACTAACTAAAGCCCTATCTCCCTTCCCATTTCTTCCCCTGACCCCATGTGATGACACTTTGCAAAGAACAAAGGGACTCACCAGTAATTCTTATCCACAAGGGGATATGGGCACACTTACTCCATGAAGTAAAAGCAAACAGATCCAAAAAAGAGCTGGAAAGGAGCCTGCTGAACACAGCACTACCTGCTTTGCCCTCGATTGCAACAGTTGTGTAGTGACCGGAGTACTTTAAAGCACTGCAAAACTTTAAAAGTTGCTGCAAAATAGGTGTCCTTTCGAAACGTTTGTAGAAGCAAACGGTCTTGATCACTAAAACGTCTTTTGTAAAGCAGTGAGGGCTTTATTTTAATAATTCCCTACCCTGCAGCGTGAGTTTGCATGTTCAGGAACAGCCAAATCTTTGAGCTGAATCATGTATTAGGAAGTGGCAATGAAATAACACCACACAATGAAGATACACACATCGTTTTTATGCAGCAGACACGAGCATAGCAAAGTGCTGAGAGCACAGAAAAAAAGCTGCCGTTTCCCACCCGGCTCTGCTGATTTGCATCCCCTTGTACAGAACCCGAAACGTGGTGTAACTTTACAGAAAGACTTTCAGGGTTTAATTGCAGCATCTGGAAAGTCTGTGCAGAAACACGTTTGTTTCAAGGACTCCAGGAAATCTGCACACACAACCACTTGGTGTTTACCTTGGACCTCACCTGCGTGGGAAGCAAAGCTCATTCGCCCGTTGCACTCCTACTGAGAAATTGTTGTTGCCATCTATTTTCCTAATGCACAATTTTCCTTCTTTGCTTTTTTAATATAGGAACGAAACCTAAGAATGTCAGGTCTAAGGTGGCTGCTCTGTAATAAAACACGTGCTTTTATTCCACGTGGAAAAGGAAGGCCAAGTTGTCCAAGTACCAACAAATGGTCTTCTCCGCACCCTGACGCAGTAACACTCAGAACTGGAGGATCACAGAAAGGTTTGGGTTGGAAGGGACCTTAAAGAAGGGACTTTCAACCTAATTCCAACCCCCAGCCATGGGCAGGGACATGTCCCCCAACCGCAGGCCCTTGGGCACTGCCAGGGCTGGGGCACCCCCAGCTCCTCTGGGCAGCCTGGGCCAGGCCCTCAGCGCCCTCAGAGGGCAGAATTTCTTCCCAATTTCTTCCCGAAGCCTCCCCCCTGCCAGGCTCCAGCCGCTGCTCCTCATCCTGTCCCCCCAGCCCTAACCAAGAGTCCCTCAATCCCACTGCCCATGTCTCTGACAAAGATATTAAACAGCGCCAGTTCCAGCACCAACCCCTGAGGAACAGCACTTGTCACTGGTCTCCACTTGGACATCAAGCCATCGACTCTTTGAGTGCACCTGTCCAGCCAATTCCTTATCCAACATGTGCCCCATCCATCACTTGTAACATATTTATGAATAAACTATGCCAAAAGAAAAGAAAAACCCAACTTCAGACAAAAGATTTGCTCACTGCTCTGCCATGCACTGCCTCTAATAAGATGAGCAGTCTAATAAATTGAAAAGAAAAACAACATGAAAGTAAGCTTGTATTCATCTTTACAAACACCTTTAATCTTTTTTCGGCCCCTCACTCCCAGAAGGACATCGAGGCCCTGGAGCGTGGCCAGAGAAGGGCTCCGAAGCTGGGGAAGGGCCTGGGACACAAGTCCTGTGAGGAGTGGCTGAGGGACCTGGGGGCGGTTGGGCTGGAGAAGAGGAGGCTCAGGGCAGAGCTTATTGCTCTCTGCAACTGCCTGAAAGGAAGGGGTGGGGAGCTGGGGGGCGGCCTCTGCTCACAGGGAACCAGGGCCAGGAGCAGAGGGAACGGCCTCGAGTTGTGCCAGGGGAGGCTCAGGTTGGCAATGAGGAGACATTTCTGCTCAGCAAGAGCGGTCAGGCCTTGGGACGGGTTGCCCAGGGAGGTGGGGGAGTCCCCGTCCCTGGGGGTGTTCAAGGAGAGGTTGGACGTGGTGCTTGGGGACAGGGCTTGGTGGTGACATTGGTGGTAGGGGGGTGGTTGGAGCTGGTGATCTTAGAGGGCTCTTCCAACCTTCATGATTCTGTGGTTTCATCATCATGTGATTTCATTTCTTTCTCATTATGAAAATGAGGTGGATTTGGGCAGTACAGACATGATTTTACACCGTATTCATGCAAGGTTTTCAGCTGAAACTTTCAGTGAACTTGGAAAATGATCTGTGAATTGCTCTGTTTTCCTGAACGGTTCACGTATAAATGAAACTCAATGCTTTTAAGCTGAATTATTTTATTTTGATTATATCCAACCACACAAGTTTGTTCTAATATGCCTTCAATTTAATCTTGATAGAGCTAAAAATTATAAAATGATATTTCACACCAGATTATGACTGTTTATTTAAAAGACAGCATTTTTAATTATTTAGGGTTATTCTAGAATCAGAAGTATGTATTATGTTATAGCTTTGTTCTTAAACTTTCTGTCAGCCCGGAAGACATCACTCTGTGATGGCTATGATAAAGTCAGATACCCCTAAATAAAAATAAATAAATAAATGAATAAATAAATAAAAGTAAGACAGAAAAACTGCAGACTTGTAACTCTTTGTGTCTTTAGCACATTCAAACATCTACCATGCAGCAGCTCTGGGACGAGCAAGGAATGCAAGACACATTTTTATCTAACCTAGCACAACTCTTACATGTAATAAGATATTACCAGCATGTCTGTAAATGAAAATCCTCGTGGAGTTACGCTTAGCTCAGGGAAAGTATCACAATACTTCAGGAAATGCTGATTTGCTGAAAATGAAGAAATGACCATATTAATTTTTTTGTAATTAGATAAACACAGGAGGTAGGTTTCTGAGGCAGCTGTGGATATTGAGTGTTTTGAATGGATTTTACCAACCCGTGCTCCTTTCCTACACTCATGTTCCTGTCTCTAACCTGTTCCAACCTTCATTTGGCAGAGATGCTCAGTTTTAGGATGAGAGTGTCAGTGCAGTGAGGAAGACGTGAAGTGGAAACATTCATAAACCACTGTCACTGTAAGAGGAGACAGTCACGGGAGGCAAAGATGCCTATGTAACCAAAACCACATGGAGAAAGTTTCGAAGATTCATCCTCTGCTGGTGATCCTTCCTTGTCCTGTACTGAGCGTGAATCCAAAATGATACTCATGTTAGAAGGGATTGTCATCTTTTATGAATAACATGGATTGTACGTTCATTTACCCCAAACTAATTCCCCTGCTGCGCCTTCTGCTTTCTACTTCATGTCTTGTTTTCACTGTCTCTCATCATGTCATATCTGTAAGCCTCCTGGACTAGAGACATTTATTTTGGCACTAGTCAGGACTTAGGAAAACCTTAATTTAGTGTCCTGATTCACTGATATTTTTTCATGTGACAAAGATGTAGACAATAATAACTTCAGGTATCTAATAACTGGGCTTTATATCCTAGGGATTTTATGCAAATAAATAGCTCAATGAAATTAAAAATATTTCAGGAATGGAAGTTGCATGAACATCCATGATTATGTTCATATGGCTTTTTGTATACAAAAGAAAATGAGTTCACCTGTGTCTCCAGCCAACCAGCAGTCCTGGAGCTTCCTGATTTCCAGTTTGCTTGGAGCATGGGCAGAGCAGAGGGTGAATGAAACCTGCCCGCAAAGACCAGAGACCTGCACAAGACTTCAGGCCAAGCATGGTGAGATTCACAATTTATGCAGATGGGTAGGAGGAGGAATGTGATGACACAAATCAACATTTTAGAAGTTGAGAGTCAGCGTGGACATGATGACATGCAAAAAGCATGGATCCATAAGATCTGATATGTAACCCAAATCCTCATTGCTGGAATACCATGTTGACTGTGTGACCAGAGTGGTCAATACTCTGCAACACCTCATAACATTGTTGATCTTTGAGCAAAGAAGCAGAGAAATGGAGCAACTAAAAAGTTGCTAAATGGCTAAAAAGACATTTGTGAGGGTTTGCTATGTCTTTAATTTAAAAAACAGGAAATTACAAACAACATGGTGGTAAACCCAAGAAGCAGAAAACAAAATAAGTGCTGCATGTAAATCCAGGCTGAACAGGTTGCCACAGTCAGTGGGCAAAGCATTCCTTGGGTTTATACTATTTAGGATTGTAGTTTACTAATTAATATATAGTACTTTCCTGTACTCACAGCAGAGGATTCACATAGGAGACATTCCAGTGTAAAGCCTAGAAGCTTTATTCATCAGTCCTGGTTGTTTGAAGGACACCTTCTCCCATAGGGCTATAAGAGTTATTCTCTTGGCTTGCCTCCCTACATAGCCAAGGTACAGAAGGAAAGCACAAATCTTTACAGCTGGTATTGGAAGAAGAATGAAGAGGAACTTGCTGCTTTTCTAAAAGCGTGATCTGTAAAAGCAGTGGTTTAGGATGGGGAAAAAACAGAAGGCTAAGTGAGAAAATGGGTGATTTTTTTTGTTTAAAAAGTGACTCCAACCAGAATTTTCAGAACTGGAAAGAAATGAGAGCACATTCAAGCACTAAAGATGAGGAGTACTAAATGCCTGCCTCTTCTGGGAAGTCTATAACATCTCATAAAGCCAAGCTGAAAGGAGTTCATAGCACTTAGTAAAAGCCAGCACTAGAAATATGTAGTGTTTTCAACAGGCAGTGCAATTCCCAGCTACACAACTTAAGAGTTGACCACAAGGCTTGTTCTGACAGGGCTGAACATGGTTGCTGTGGAGAGAGACACAACAGGACCTGGAGCAAGGGAGTTTTCTTGTAGATTTTGGTCATATCACTTCCTCTTGAAGTTGCACATACATTTTTAAGGATACTATTTGTTGGAGATTCAGCTACTTTTTCATCTCCCTTCCTAGTTACCAGCCATATCCAAGAGATCCAAGAAATGTGTTTATATCTCTTTAGTTGTTAGCAGCTCATCTAGCAACCATCATGAAATAAATACACCCTCTATAAAAGAAACTACCTTTGCACCAAAAACTTATGGATTGCTCATCAACTTGCAATTTTATCATGGTTAGAATAAAAGAGTTCAGTAAAGATCAGAAGCAACTTGAATTAGAATTGAGAAGAGAATGCAATTTTGTGGACAAAAAGCATGAAGGACTGTTGGGCTGCGTTTGGGAACGAGAAAGTAATTGAAGTAAAAGAAGTAACTGAAGAAAAGTAAAGTAAAATATAGTAAATGAAGAAAAGAATAGCACATTCAATATTTAATAGCAAAAATGGAATTCAGTGGAGTTCTTCTATTCTCCAAACCATAATTAAAATGGGAAGATGTATTAAAAAATATCAAATTTGGGGGGAAAGATATTGTCTACTTTATTATCTACTGAAAACCACATGGGAAATCCAACATAATACCAAGGTAGCAAAACAAATACAGACCCAGTGCTCTCCTCAAGTGTTGAATTTTCTTCCTATACTAAGATTCTCAAAATCTGTGTGTTTCGGTGCCTTGAACTGCATCTGGCCAGCTTGAAGCTTTAAAGCTTCTTTTCACAGAGCAGGGTAACGCTAACCACTTTCTAAAAATCACAGCCTCCAGTTGAGAAATCTAAAGCACAGGCATGCAGGAACTCACTTTTGAAAAGCATAGTTTTAAAGGATAGCAGTGGAGGCCTAAAACCACAGGCCACATGGGCAGAAAAATTGCAGCTGGCTCTGGAGAGACCTGTCCTCCTCGCAGCTCTTTGCATATCAGTGTTGGGAGGAAAGAAGCGTGGTACCTTAAGCATTCCTTGCAGAAGCAAATAGTGCAGGAAATGGCTGTGTCAGCATTCTTCTTGCCCTTGAAGAGCTTCGCAGGAGCAATGGTGTGCTCCCAGCTGGGCCATTATGGCCAGGTTCTTTTTTGTCCTGCCTGAAAGGTGCAAAGACTCAGGATCTGAGCTATGAATCTGCTCCATTATTCCCTTTGTTACAAGGAGAATGTGAAATAGTCTGGAAAGTGCAGGAATACCTGAAGTCAAATTATACATGTTACAAGTACTTTCCAAATCCAACTTTTATAGTAATGCAGAAGGGCACTTTTACATACACTAAAAACCACACTGAAACCACGGGTTTCTCAATAAACACATCTACAGCGATGATACACTTGTGGGATTAAAGTTTATACCAACAGCTAAATGGGAAGAGCTCTGCTCACCTGCCAAGGAGCAATTCCTTCAAGCTTACGGCCGTCTCTGCTGACATTGAACAGAGCACCCTGCCTTAGGCATGACATTTGGAAGGTGTAGCTCTGCGTGGCGTACCTGAAAACGTAGTCATTGCTCACTTCATCTCTTCCATCAGAGCGGAAACTATGTGATAATTAACGTTTAGGCTCATGCGTTTTGCTAATTGTTGTCTGCGTGGCTCTTAGGGTGCAGGGTTCAGGAGGAGCTGTGCGGTGTGGACAAAGCCTTGCAGGAACGAGCTGTGAGCACTTCACTGTGGGCTTGCTTCTTCTTAATCATAGCTGCTCAACAACGTTGACATCTGCAAGACAAATGAGTAACTTCTTTACATCTGGCTTTGTATATTTTAGATACATATATATATAGAGAGAGAGAGACAAAAATGAACCCAAAAATGACTTAGAAGTGCTTATTCATTAGGCAAAGTTCTCCAGGGTGCAAAGACTCTTTTCTCAGCGAGGTTCCTGGCACTCGTGGCTTTCTGTTACTTTTTTATTATTAAAAAAAAAAAAAAAGGAATTAAAACCATATTTTTCTCATTTCAATAAGTACCTTTATGATGTCCAAGCAACTCCAACAATGATATCATCTGTCTCTTTCCTCAGGAGAGGAATTCAGGCCAGACCGTGATATTCCTGCTTATTTCTGGAGCACAGAGCCTTACACCGAAGCGAAGGCAGCAAGCCTCAATCCTTGGAGGGGAAATGCATGTCACAGCGCCGTCCGCTTAATACCGTGCCTCCTAGAGATCCCTCCCTCTTCTGGAGAGCTGTTCAACACTATAAATTAAGAGCTAAAGCCTGAATCCTGTTAAGCTGATCTGTGCGGGCAGATACCCAAGGCTGTTCTTCAGCGGGACGTGCTTACCAGTAAGGATCAGCCCATATGGATCCCATTTCTCCGTGAATATTCCTTTCAGGATATGTACAACATGTGGCATAATTGGGCTGCGGTCCTTGAAGTGGCCTCCGAGTTAATAAAACAGATGATTCACCTTCAACTTGTTAAGTCCCCCAGCTTAGGTCAAGTGTGCCTTCAGCTGGCTGCCTGCACGATGGTGGATCCACGGGGATGGAGTAAGGGTTTAAGTTCTCCAGGTTTAACTGCTCCAGCACCGTCAGCCTCCTCACAGCCGCTTGCCTCCAACGTGCTTTGTGTGAGGGAGCTTTCCAAAACTCTCCAGCCCAGTTCTGGGCTGCCTGATGCCACTGTGGGCTGGTGGATGGGGATGGAGAAGGCCAGGACTTGTGTGGTGCTCCAAAACCAATCCTCCCTCCTCCCCAATAGCTCATAAACATCTTTCCTCATCACCACCATGAGTCCACCTCCCTTTACACTAGAAGGTAAGGGACTGCAAAGCCAGTTTCCCAAGCAGCTTCTCTTTCCTGAAGGCACTGCCTGTTTAGCTGTGGTCCCTTCCTCCTGCCCTTTCCCCTCTAGACGTGCTCTCTTGAGGATGCCCTTGCACGCTGGATCCTGGATTAGGCTGAATTTTGCCCATGCCTGTTGTTGCTCCTGGTGTCTGGCTTCTGGATAGGGGAGAGAAAGCAGAAAAAGCCACCAAGAACCTTCAAGATACAAATCAGAGCTTCCAGCATCAACACTTCAAGTAGTTTTGCCACCCCCATCTCCCAAACTTGGTAAATGTAAAGAGGGTATAAAAAGAAAGTAACAAGGATGCCTGCAAGAACATTTGCCTGATGGGATACAAGAAAGACGTGGTTTCCCCGTTTCCCTCCTCATTACGTGCTCCCACCCATCGTTACGCTAATCACAGCCTCGGCTGCTGTCTGAGAGGCTCCAGACTGGGAATTTGACCAAATAACCAGCAAATGAGGGCTTGAGCCAACTCATCCCTGATCCCTCCCACCCCTGGATGTCCCTAAGGACTTCTCTCCGGCCCACCCACTTTGGCCAAGAGCTCTTCCTTAATCCCCCTTGGGTGTTGTTACAGACCTTAGGCAGGCAGCCTGATGCTTTGGGGTCTGGTGAGCGCTGCCATCAGCCTCCGAGCAGCCAGAGCTGGGCTTTTTCCACCAGGTTTTAACTGTGGGAGAAAAGACAGGGGTCGGTTCTGCCTGGAGCCTTGAGACACAGTGTCCTATTCCCCAAACCAGCCCTTCCCAAGGAGAGACGGAAGAAACGTACCTTCAGACCACTGACTCTAAGAGGTTTTTGATAGGAACCAGCTCCTGGATGCATCCTGCAAGCATCTGATGCTGGATTTGAGGGATACAGAATAAAAATTGAGGTGAGTCAATTACACAAGGAGCATTTTCTGTCAGGTGTGCATCTATCAGGCGATGAGGGGAAGGGACCACTGGGGGGTGACCTTGTATTGGTGCCTCCCATCTTTATTTCTCAGAAATAAATGCCTCCTTGGAGATGTTGGAAAGCCACCTAGACAATCCTGGACAACCTGCTCTAGGCAGGATGGATCAGATGGACCCAGAGGTGCCTTCCCATCCCAACCATTCTGTGATTGTGATTATCTGGGAAATCTTTTCTACATACAAATAAAGATGTTTCCTTGTTCCTCCAGCCTCCTTCCAACATCCTTATCAGTCTGAGCACAGTACTAAGGGAGATGGGTCAGTGCAGCCCGTTGTATGCCAAGAAGGAGGCAGTCTCCATCTCACAGATTTTGGGGAAGAATTTAGGAAAAGGTACGCAGGGCTCTGAGACGTGTCCTTAAAGGGCAACGTGTGCCTGACAAGGATGAAATTCATCTGAAGGTGAAGTACAGTCCACAGTCATGACAGAAAGCACCCCAAGTAGCTGTTAGGGAGAAAGACAACGATAGAAATCTCACTAGATGGAAGAATCTTGTTGCTCCACTAGGATCCAGCCATGAAGTTTGAAATTCCTCGGTGCTGGAAATCAGAAGGGACAAAAAAACAAGCTGCTGGTGTTACATTCTTCGCCCTCAAATGCCACGTCCCATCGATGGAAGATGCTGAGGTCTCCTAGCAGCCAGAATCTACCTACCAGAAAATCTCACTGAGGTTCTGGCACCGTGGCAGAGGTCTCATCTCACCGAGCTGCCCTTCTGGGTGTTCTGCCAGGAGAATTTAAGTCCTTTCAATTAAGCCCTTTCCCAGATCCGGAGATATTTGCTGGCTGAAGCAGCAGTGATAGAAGCTGGGTTTTTAGTAAAAACCAACCTTTGCCATCCCTGCAAATTTTTGTGTGGCTCATGGAGCTATATGGCCATGAAGGCAGCTCTGAGACCATCCTGTAGTCCATACCCCAAGCACTGTGAAGTGGTTGGTTACCTTTTGCAGAAAATTTGCCACTGCAACACAAGAGCATCGACATTTACTGTCAGATCACTTGGGCATTCACACTGCCAGCTTACTCGATGACTCGTTTAACTTTGGGACACTACAAAAAGAGAGGAATAGGGCGCTATCACCCAATAAATCCTACTAGCACCTTCCTGCAGGGGCACTTCCAGAGGTCACCGTGTTATCAGCTAAAACAGAAGACGCACAAGCTTGCTACATGAAAATAAATAATAGAAGAAACAGACAATTAGGGCAATAAAGCAGCAAACAATTACTGTGCTGTGGAACAAGCCCATAGACTTCCCTTTGATTAACACAACCTTATTGTGCACAACAAGGGCAGCTTACAATGAACGCACACGTATTTTATAACTGCTGTAGGTGTCTCCAGTAATTTCCAGCTCTATTATTTGTGCTGATGCCTCACTACATATGTACACACACAACAGTGGGGAGAATGCTATTCTGTAAGTTGTTTTTTTTTTTCTTAGGGAAGCTAGGGAGCATTAGAGGTCTGGCTATTATTGAATGCTAAGCCTACTTTGGGATAACACCTATTGTTATGCTAGGTTAGGAACCGTTTCCTGAAAGCGATCCAGCAAGGAGATTTATTTTCATCTTTTCAGGGTAATTTGGATGTTTCTGGCAACGCTGAGATTTGCAGGGTTTCACAGAAACAGGGTGCAGGGGGAACAGGATAGCTGCATCCAGAATCATTAAGCGGTTCTGGTCCTCTGCTTCCTCCCAGCAAAACCTTGGCAGCCAGACAAGAAGTTACAGGGTTTCTACAGCCAGAGATAGAAAAAGCACTGCAGGAGACAAAGCTACATGCGACTTTTCAAAGCTATAGTACAGGAATTTTGTGCATGGGAAAAGGAAAGAATGTGTAGTCTTAAGACAAGCGTTGCTTTCACAAAACGCCATCAGCTGAGGAAAAATCCACTTTCACTAAAACCTGTCAGTCTCTGAGGAAGGATACTTAAAATAATTTAAAGCAGACATACTGCCTCATCACATGGAATATTCCAAAAAGCAAGGTCAAAGCAAAGTAAGTACCTCAGGTGCATCTTGGAAATACACACTGCCCTGTATTGGTAGGATATTTAAGAGGACAATTCCATCTGTCTCAAGAATCTGTTACAAAATGGAACCAAAAATTACTTTCAGTGATTATTTGTCCCATTTGCAGGTATTTCTCTATCAATCTCTGGCCTCTCCTAGCATCAATGTTGTCTTTCAAATCATTACTGGATTCTCCTTGGGTAATAACCTGTATTTGCACCCTCAGCAATAAGGTGGGAGCCACTGTATTTTTGGTAAATGGTTTTCTTCCACGCAATTCTCCTAAATTAGGGGGGTACCTACCACTGCAATCTGCTAGTCCTGTGCACCATGCAAAGCCATCACTATTCAGACTTCCTGCTACAGGTTAACTGATGCACTGAAATGCCTAAAAAAAATGAAAAAGAGAAAAAAAAGAGGCATTCTACAGCAAAGGGACAATTCAAACAGCCTAAGTAAGGAGCTTTTGATTGATTACAGCAGCCTAAGGATCTCTGTGAAAGGCAATGCAATGATCAAGCACAGCAAGCAATTGAGGCGCTTGGAGCCAGCTAATTAGCAAAGCTAGCCACAATTCGGCTCCAGAAGATTCTGGTAGCTAAAGGGGCATTTTACAGCATTTCTCTTCAATTTGTCTCAGTGCATCAGTCAAAAGATCTCATTTACATAGAGTCTTCAGCTCCTTTGGCCGGGTAGATGGCACTGGGTATCAATTTTCCTTCTCTGACTACACCTAAATCTGGACTCATCCAACCTGACCGTGCCAGCTGCACTGCAGTATTTGTTCTCTCTGCATCATCAGCGATGAAAAGTAGACAAACTGGAACAAATACGATCAGAACAAACCAGAGAGCACCCTTAGAGAGGGCTGATGAGGCTCACCATTTCATATCTCAGAGGCCACCACCATCTCACATCGCTGTGTTCATTCAGCAGAGGAACTCAAACACTCCCAGGGTGGAAAAGCTTTTTTTTTTCTTCCATTATTTTAATTAAAATTGCAATTGAGATGTTCTTTAAAATAAAATAAAAAAACACAAATTTGTCTGAATTCTAATATTAAATTTTCTTTTTAATAGAAGTCCAAGATTTTGTCTATTTTCATATAGCCAAAGGAAAAGAACAAGCTATTAGTTAGGACACTTTTTACTGGTTGAGGCAACAATTGCATTAGCAGGAAAGCATGGTAGTTAGAAAGCAAATACAAATAGCAGGGGAAGAAAAGATAAACGCTTTAAAAGAGTAATTTTTAACTACTCCCATGTAAATAAAAGCTCCTGAAAGCATTAAGATGCACACAGCCACTTGAATATCTAAGTTTGTTGTAACTCAGTGTTTTGTTTTCTTTTCTTCAAATTTATTCTTATTGTTTGACTGTGCTAATACCCTGAGAGTTGTATTTTATCCAAGTCTCTACAAGCAGTTTTGTGTTGCTGGAGTTTTTCTCCACTGTAACAGGAAAGCAAGTACATAAAGGACAACTAAGTGATAAAATTGGCATGCATCAGGATAGCTGCAAAACTGCTAACTTCTCAGCCATTTCAAACGTAAGCTATTTCCACCTGTCAGTGTTTCAGTTGGACAAAGTTTCCACAATTAAAAGCTCTGTATTTAGAACCATCTCAAAATAGTTTAAAAAAACCTTCAGCAGAACCAACAGACCATAAGCACTATTACACATTTTTTTCTCATGTCTTGAGACAATGCCACTCACTAGGATTGTGAAAACAACAATAAAAACTAAAAGGTACCTTACAAAAGCGTAGGCATTCTTAAAGAGGCACTACTTTACTAATAAACTCAATACTACGTAAAAAGCAATTCACATTTTATTTAAATTGCATTAAACTGTACAAAAATGTTTTATTCTTGCCAAAAATATCAGCAATATTTTCAATCTTACTTCTAGACAAACAGCAAACTTTTATTTTATTCTTTCCAGGGTGAGTTTACAAGTAAACAAATAAGATGCACATTTTTTGCGTTGAACAAACGGATTTCAATGGTTTTTTTTTGGAATAATCTTGATTTTTAGTGTCTTTAAGGAACTTCATTACTCCTGCCATGCCTGTTAAAAGCCTAAAGAAAAAGGTTGTGTGTCTCACACAAAGGAATGTAAACAGTCACGAGATTAAAGAGGTTGACTCTTCCAGTGAAACCTTAAACGTACCTCTGTACCACCAACATTCGCTTTACGCAAAGACCAGTCCACAGCACGAGGCTTGTGTGGTTGCTGGATTCACTCTCCAAAATGCCAATTGAATGCACATCAGTTAAAGACAAATTTACGAAAAAAAAAAAAATTCTAAGTAACAGAAGTGAAATGGATTATACCCTTAACATTTTCAGTTTTTTTTTTCTTACCCTAATTCATGAGCAAATATGTAACAGCCCCATCAGATCTACAATCACCACAACGTTCTTTTGCCAAGATGCAACAAAGTAAGTACCTAGTTAAGTCGATCAGATGCAGAAAGCACTTCTGCTAAGAGCATGGGCTTATTTTCAGGCTTGTTTGTTCACATCACATATTTAATGCAGACTAACAAAACGTGATTTGGGTCACGGACCACACCTTCTTAAATCTGAGACCTAAAATGGAAATACAGTTGCAGTAATTTATTTATTTGTGTGTTTATTTATTGGGATTTCAAAGTCATTTTTTTCCTTCAGCCTTGAAACTCAGCGAGCAAAAAGCTGTTTCACCAGGCTGGCTAGAGCTTAAAAAATTAAGCATCTTTTGTTACTTCGGAGTTGTTTGAGGGAATAAAGTCTTCTTGAAATTCAACTTTATCTGGATAGAGTTTAATGTAGGTGTCCACCATTAAATCTAGGTCGTGTTTTATATCAAAGTTTATGTTTAACAAAGCTAGGTTGCTGGACCTTTGCTCTGTCAAGGTGTTTTTCAGGTACGCCTTTAAGCGCTTCCGTCCTACTTCGTATTTCTCGTTCTCCACCTTCATCACTGGAAGTATGGACAAGACTTTAAGCAACGCGTAAACGTTAGGGAAAAACTTTATGTCAGGCAGGTGAAGTGCTTCATAAATAGTAGATGGAAGTTCAATATCTTTCCCTCGGTGCTTCCACTTGATTCTCCAACAATGAAGCTCAGCAGAGAGAGTGTCCGGATTAGGCAAGTCATTTTTGTACATGTCAGCGTGATGCTCCTCAGACGTATTGAATTTGAGCTGACCCATGACTGAGGGCACTAATGATAAACATTTAAGAGCTTTTAAATGTTGTTCTGAGAATATATCTTTTAATTCTTGAATTATATGTTCCAATGTGGGGATACTAAGGACCTCCTTGTAGTAATTCTCTGATGTTAGCTCAGAGTCCAAGTTACCCTGTTGTGCTCTGCGAAATTTTCCAGGGAGTTTAATTTGTACATCCAGTTTTGTAGCCAAATTTGTTGCTTCCTCAAACCAAAACTCATGGTAAACGTCGACATTCTCCACCACTTCGTTCAGAGAATGCAACACCGCCGTTAGGCTGCTAGCTGCAAAGAACACATCTGACGTTTGCCCCTGGAGATTTCTCCCAAATGCTCTCGTAAAAGACAGAGCATGTTTCAGAATTACAATAGTCACAATGAAATCAAAATCCGTTATTGCGCTTGAAAGTACAAATGCTCGACCAGCAATGGAGTTGTTCCACCTGACAGACGTGTCACTGTTTACCGCATCCAAACACAGCACCAAGGCTTGTATGAGGTCCACTAACACCTCAAAAGTATCGTGCCTGCCTGTCCAGTGAGAACGGCAGATCTCCTTCAGCTCATTGCTCTTCTCCTTATTGTTCTGAAAAAGAACAGAAATTGTATTGTCCAGTTCTTCCAGCAACTGCGGGGACTGCCGAAAAAGACAGCAAATTTCCTCGATTGTTCCCAGTGCCGTGGAAACTCCAACAACAGGAACGGATTTTGCCAACCAGACGTTTAAGGCACAAGAGGAACACAGCGTATAAACGGCTTGCGGATACTTCTCCAAGAGTCTTGTAGCCACAACTTTCATTTTAGAAGCAAACCCACTGGAGACAATGTAGGCTTGACCTCGACAGTACTCCATGTTTAGTCCCCACTTTTCAGTAATAGTCGTATGGAACTTAACAGCCAAAATGTCAGGATCAGCCTCATAAGGTAAAAACCCAATGAATTCTTCTCGTAGATTGTGAGAATCATCAACAAATCTCACCAAGACTGGCAAGTGTTCCTCTCCTGCTATGTCTACCACTTCGTCAGTAACAATAGAAAAGAAGTGCGAGTCTCTTACTTCCCTCAGTGTCTCTTCTCTGATACAGCTCTCACAGATCTCAAGCATTTGTTTCTGCTGAGTTTTTGAACAATACTCCAGATTGACCGCAGTCATCTCAAACCGTTTCCTCAGAACTTCATCTCCAGAATTTATTCTACATTCCAGCAGAGCCTGAAAGTTATCTGAGGCAAAAATACCTTCTGGAAGCTCATCAACATTATGGCCATCCAGGGGAATATTTTGTTTCCCCATTAGGATCAAAATTTCAAACAAAGATTTAAGGTAGTCTTTGTTTTCTCTTTCTTCCAGTGTTAAAGGAGTGGCTTCTTCTTCTTGCTCTTCCCCACCTTCCTCTGAGACAGTGTTTTGTGCATTGCTTTCATTCAGTTCTTGGGTTGCCTGTTCCCGTTCAAAAGCTTCATCAACTACGAAACGTAAAATACCATGTTAAAATAACACAACTAAAACATAATATTTGCTTTTCCCTGCTATCCCCATTACCATTAAGTTACTGGAGTTGAGAGTATGTTTCCAGTTGAAAAGTGAATAATTTGGAATGAGTTTAGACTGGCTACTTGAATCAAGCAGCAACTCAATTATCCTCCTGCTGTACATAAAGTTACATATTCTATGTTACTTCATCAGCCTTAAGATTTTCAACAAAGTTTTTCAAACAATTATTTTGCCCACTTACTCTTTTGCTGCTTCAGTGTTCTTATTTCATCTTCACTCTTAAAAAAAATAAAATAAAATTGATGTCAATGTCTACCACATGACCTTAAGATACTAAAACACATCAAAGATACAAATATTGTAGATGAGACCACATTGAGATTTTTAATACTTAAAAAGTGCTATAAGGTCTGATAGAAGGAGGTTCTTTAGGTAGTTTATTGCTGTCACAGCATAACTAGTAACAACACAGCAATACTTTGTTGCTACTCCTAAGGTTCCCATACTTGTATTAGGAGTTTGTTGAATCTGCATTATGAGCAAGTTCTTTTCATTAAAAAATTCTGTTTCAGTAGGAACATGCACTATGCCAACAGAAAGAACTGTCTTAATCGTTTCCTAAGATTCAGTTAAACAACAGACTTATTAAACTCATGAAGAAATATTTAAAAATCGTATTTCTCTGACATACAAGCTGAGTTTAGGAGTTGAATTCCTCATAATTTTCAATATACTTAAATCCAGAGATCTATAGACATTTAGTGTAAATGACACAGAAGAGCCATTGACAAGTCACAATTCCACGAGAAACTGCTTGATCTTGGTTTTACACATGATCATCTTTTGAAAACAATAAGCTAAAACATGCATGTCTGAATTACTGCAGACTTCAGAGCAGTATCAGGCAAACTGAAGATCAGAGTCATCATATAGCAAGAATTTCAGGGTAGCATGCCTAAGTTGTATTCAGTTAGTGCTGCATTAACAAGTAAAAGGAAGTTATACGCCTGCTTTTGAAGACAGGATCAGTTCTCATCTTCCAAATTATTTCATTAAACTTTTCTGAGTAGATAAGAGTTCTACCAGTGTAATACTTGGGTATTTACATGTAACTTACTATCAGCAAAATTGTACTAGAATAGCAGCACAGAAACTGCAAACACCCAAGTGCTACGTATTATTAGACATTATATGGTTTCATATGAACTTGTCTTCAGTGTTTTAACATAAAACAAAAAATCTTACATTAAAAACTTACCAGCTCTTTTATCCTTTTTCTATGTCTGCTGTGGGGATTGTTCAGGTGACTTGTAAGATCAAATATAGTTGGCACGGCATTATCCCGTAAAACTGTTCTGTAAGGACTCTGTGAAGAGACATCTAGATTAGCAATGCCTTTAGGAAATTGGCATGGCCTCTGAAATTTCATGTTTTCAAACAGAATGTACACTTAAAAAAATAGCCTCTGTGTAATTTCATGGTTTTTGTGCAGTGTGTACAAAGAGCATGGCCTATGAAATTCAGTGGGTGCACAGAATTTTTTTCCTGTTTATTATTTTCACTTTCTGATGCATCAGAACAAATAGGAAGTTGTGCTACTCAATTCACATTTCAGAGATTTAACGAGAACACTGAAAATTAGAAGATGTTTTCTAAAAAAAAGAAAACAAAGCACTACTACTTTTTCTTCCCCTTTGTATTCACATCACAGATCCCCAATGCCATAATTTCAATTTACTTGAATATTAAAATTTCTAACAAAATAAATATTCTGGATATAGAGACACCTATGCCTCAGAAAGGAAAATGCTTTTTACTAGTGCTGTGTTTATCATCACTTGTTTCACAGTTCTAGAAACAATCACACAAACATTTTCGCAATGAAAACGTTCATCTGATTCTTTACATCAAATTATGCATACCCACAAAAAACTCCAGTGAATGACCATACTGAAGGAAAACACAACTGTCAAATGAGTAGGAGGAAGGCTTCCATGTGGTCATGTAAATGTTTCTAGCAGTTAAAAGTGTTTTAAATAACATGTATTTGAATATGCTGTGAACTTGTGTCATCTAAACTGGACCATTTCCATCAAGCACAGACCTTTGACTGATCGTGTTTCTACATGTCATTACACTGAAGTGGATTTCAAGCAGTTTCACAAAGCTTCATTTCATATTCAGAATTTCTTCCAATAGTCATCTGTTGGTTTGTTTCTGGGAAGCAGCCTAATCAGAGACCCTGTCATGTGTAATACCAACGAGGGCTCCAAGTTTGACCTACGTATTTTAATTACCCCACAGAACCAACTTTGTGTCTTTCAGCCTAGAAATCAAGACTTGGTACAAAGCCACAAATCCATCGGTTCCTACTGCTAAGCAAGCTATTAAAATCAGCATCAGTTTAACAAGAAGAATTGAAAGCTATTATTTCATTAACAGGAAACAGTAACATGATTTAACTGGATAGAATACAGCAGGAACCAGAAGCCTGACAAACATACAGTGTGTGTAAACCTCTTGGCCACAGGCGAGTGCAATTTAACTGAATTACACCACATATTCTCTTCAGTAACAGCACATTAGTGATTTTAAGTAATTAGGGGTATGCAAACTTACATTCTTACACGGAATACATTATATAATGTTGTAACATTTAGTGACAGTAAACAAAATAAGCATGGTTTTGCAAGAGGAAAGAACTGCCATGAAGGCCACGAACATATTAAATCAGCTGAAGCAGTTTCTCTACCCAAACTGCTCATTTCCACCTCATCCTTTGTGCCAGTACAAACATCTGTGAGTCTGTGCGGTGCCCTGGACCATGACAAGGATGTCAATTAAGACAAGGAGATTCATTTTCCCAGGGACCACTTACCCAAGGGACCAAAAATTAAAATGCAGCATACTGATTAAAAACCTTAATTACATTTTGCAATGTGCAATAAACAAATGCTTGGTTTTACTCACACTTCTGCATATCATAGAAGTCTCAAAATGTTTAGCGCACAGTCTGTAGTGCTTGTTGAGTTGATCTGGAGTTTTATCTTCCAAATCTGCCCTTCGACAGTTCTCCACCCATCTTTGACATCTGCAAGTAAGCAAAAAGAAAAAATTAGTCTTCAGTTTAAATAAAATCCCTTTCAATTTCAAAACTTACTCACAACTGGAGTGCAGCAATCCCTGCCCTCCACGCAGGGCTGAGGAAAGCTCTGTGCACCTTCCCCTGGAAAGTACCATGACATCTTTTTTAAAATCTGCTTTTCTCCTTTTGTTCACCATTTAACAGCAAAGTCATGAATCTTTTCCCTCTCACCTTTGTCACATATGTACAACATGGCAATGCAATTGCTCACGAAGCCCAACCGTCTAATTCTGAACAAGAATTATATTCAAAAAAAAGCTTGTAGACTAGATACAGCCATGGCTTTTCAAACCACTGTGAAAATAGTCATATTCTCTGCCCACCTTTAAAAAAATTATTTTTTCCTTATCTATTCTCATCACCTGGGAATTTAGAGTTGAATTTCAAAAGGTGAAATAATAAAAATTCAAAAGCAACCATTCCACAGACAGCGAAGCCTGAAGTAAGTTTTCATTAGATTTTTATGACATTTATTTCTGCTTTAGATTAGTTCTCCGAGATACAACACAAAGCTAAAGAAACATTTTACCACGTAATAGGGCTCCTTTTAGATACACAAGATAATATTTCCTCTGGTGAGTAAACGACTTTCAGTAATTGATGCAAGCGTATCAGCCAGCTTGTATTGCCCCCAAGGGGGTCTGCACAGTTACCTCTGAGCAACACCATGTACAGACTGACTCTGTACAGCTACTCCAATACAATTCATCTATTTTATCTGTGCAGTAAATATATAAATTAACGAGATTCCAGCAGCCATTAATATCTCAGTATTTAAAAGATACATCCAATCATTTCTGTCCTGCAAAAATCATTCCCTGAAGCATTATCGTCATGTACACGCACTTTGTGGCATCACAGATCGACCACAACTGCACATGAGGAAATACAGCTGAAAACACAGATGATTAAAACCTTCACATGAATGTAGCTGATGATTTGATCATTGTTCTAACTGCGTAATGAGGTTGCAGAAGCTCCCGTTCCTTATAGGCTAAATCTCCCCCCAGTCAAACACAAGAAGGCCAGGGACAGCTACATGGTAAGGAATCCTGATGCTATTACAGTAATGCTACAGGAAAAGCGAGGAATTTTCATTATATTCTTACTGTACTTTACAACACATCTCTCAGTTACATACTTTTCAGCTTTTCAACTCAAATTTCTTAGCTAATAAATTGCTAGAAGCTATAAGTAAATCTATTATTCTTTTTCACTACAAAAATAAAATTATTGCTCACTGGAGCAAGGAAGAACAATAATGAGTGATTTTTCAACAATTTAGGGTTGACAGTTTCTCAAGGTGTTTTGGTGGGCGACCTAAATGAAGAAACCCACAGCTCTGTGTGGATTCCCCACCACATCTACTTTAACTGAGTAACCAAAGGACAACTGTGCAAGCGAAAAAGGAATCTTGGATCCTGCTCCCTGCGCTGTTTGTGCATTGTAACTATAGCTCATGCAAAACATAAAAATAACACTGGCAGCAAGTACCATAAAACAGGGATAACTTCTAATAGATTGTTATTATAGATCTACACATAATATCCTGAATTAAGGCTTAAAAGAAAAATATCTTCTCTTGCTCAGCCTTTTGGCAGCACAGACCTTGCACTCTTGCATCGTTCATTTCACCAAGCAGCATAAACACGGACCTCTCACATGGGACACCTTTAACGTGCAGGTTATACTGAATCTGGCTTTAGTACTTTGAGCAGTTGCTCCAGTTACGAGCCAGTTAATTAAAAGTAATCACATCAGGCTGCCACACAGGCTGATGAACCTTCCCATTGTGGTGAGGGCTTCAGTCCAGAGCAAGAGCTTGACCTTGGCAGATTTTTTACCTGCCTCTCTCCAAGGACTCAAGGAAGTTGTGGAAGACCACCATGGAGCAAAATCAAAGCTCCTCACGTTACTGCTCCTCTGAATCACCTCCTGGCAAACCCACAGCAACAAACTGGTGGCAGCAATAACGTGTCTACAACACACATCCCAGAACCGCCCCGTAGTTGTCGTGGACAAAGTCAGCCTGTCCCTTTGTCTCTGATGTTGCCATCCAGAAAACAAATTAAGAAGATGGTAGCAGCAGCTAGGCACCAGATCAAGAAATATACCAAAAGCTCCTCAGAATGGTCTCAGGAAATGAGTTTTACAAAGATAAAATCAACCTCCAAATACACCTCTCCCTTCCTGACTTCTCTCCCAGTTACATTAGAGCAGCTGCTGCCTTCTGGGCTGGTCAACTCTGAGCACAGAGTCCCAAAGAAGCCTTGGCACGGACAGCCTGAGTTTGTGGATCCTGATCAGGCAGAGGCACCAGGCTCCTCACCCCACTGGAGCAGAAGATCAGTAAATGAAGCTCCAGATGTCTAGGAAACTTTACTGGCAAAGGCTGGAGTGATGATATTTTCTCAGGTAGCCACAGGATAAAAGGGAGATGGTCGAGGTTAAATGACTGGACCCAAGCTCTTGGATACAAACTCCATCATTTCATCATTTGGCACCTCAGTCTGTCTACTGGTTTGGCTCTTCAACAAGTTCTCTCCAAAGAATGAGCAGAAGAACAAAGAAAAAAAAAGGTCAGATGCCTGAATATACACAGCGTAGCTGTGCTGCTTGGATAACACCATGTAATTAGAAAGATTTTCAAATAAAATTAGGTACAAAACTTTCTTTGCTGTTTAAGCGTTCAACTAACTCACGCTGTACACTGTGGTGTGAGTGCTTTAGTTGCAAAATATTTGGGAAAAATTAAAATGCAGTCCAGTACAATTTTTTGCACCACTGTTTAGATGCCATTCATCAAGTTTTAAGGAGGTTTCCTTCAATCACAAATTCAACATTTTATCCATAGATCTGCTGACACCTGATAGAAGCTCAAATGGCATTTTATTTAGGTGCAGATAGAGAAAATCACTTATATTACCTCGACATTGGTCAACGACAGCAGAACAGTATCTCTGTTGTGTTAGAAAGTATCTTACATTTTGTTCCAAATACACCTCACCTCAACCTGCCACCATGAAGAGCCAGAAGCACAGGTGGTGGTTAAACACACAGACCCTACTGTCTGCCTGGGCTGCATGAAATGATAAAATACCCATCCTTACTGGTGTAACAGAGGTTACTTACTTACACTCATGTTTGATGTGAAAATGCTAAACAAAATTCATTCTATTCAATTGTTTTTTTTCCAAAGCTTAACCTGTGCACCTGCTCTTGCTTTTCTCAGATAGCAACAAGCAGTGAAGCCAGTCTTAAATGACTGTCCAGCTCTCACAGACCTGCTCATGCTCCTAAGATGTGATGTGGTTAGAAATGAGGAGACATTTCTGCTCAGCAAGAGTGGTCAGGCCTTGGAACGGGTTGCCCAGGGAGGTGGGGGAGTCCCCGTCCCTGGGGGTGTTCAAGGAGAGGTTGGACGTGGTGCTTGGGGACAGGGCTTGGTGGTGACATTGGTGGTACGGGGTGGTTGGACCAGGTGATCTTGGAGGGCTTCTCCAACCCTAATGACTCTACGATTAGAGCTCTTAGCACTGAATTGGAAAAAAGTAAAGGCAATTACTCAGTTATTGTAGAAAACCTGAAAGCAGTAAGGTTGTACAGACAATTCACCTAGAAATATGTATTTCTCAATGATTTTTTTTAATTAAAAGTTTCCAAGACTTACTCTAATTCTGTTAGCTGCCAAGAACAAACCACATTTTTGGCACGAACATCTTTGCTCCCCATTCCTGTTTGACCTACGAGGGTAAGAGGTCTCTACGACAGCAAGCAGCACTGCAAGGCTGCAGCAGTAACATCGCCTGACATCTACAGTTACTTGCAGAGCAGTGCTGCAGTTCATGTTAATAGTCATTAAATTGAATATATGATCATTTTGGACATTTTGCTACAGGTTTGGATATAAAAAGTATAAGATATTAGGGAAAAAAACGTAGCTAGCATTGTAACTGCATGTTTTTAAGAGCACAGCAGACTAAAAATGCTAGAAAGAGCTCAGGTATAGGTTCTCCTTCCTCTGCAAAGAAACTGTCTAGATCATCCTTCAGGGTTGATTTTACCTATTTTCTACTACTCCCTTAGAGGAATGTTAATCATTTTAGCCTGAACTACTTCACGGGGATTATAAAGCAGTCATGAAAACAGAAAGAACTCCTACCCGTACCAGTGCCTTTGTAGACATATAAGCCAGTACACGCTGCCTAAAACCACATCTGTGATCTACTTCTATGTATGTTGCAGTAATTTATGTTGTTTAACTTAACATAGATGATGCACGTTTTTGGATATATTTCTGTCATATATTTCTGTGTATTTCTTTCCTATGTGTCAAGCACCTGGAGGAAACCAGCAGGTGTCACGTATCCATCGCTGGAAGTTCAGCTTTAACTGCCTGCTCTTAGAACTGCCACGGCTCTAGGGATGACACCTTCCGAAAGTGCGAGCAGCAAGTGAAGTCAAGAGGTGGCAGCTAGACACGGTGAGCTTCTACATAGGAATTTCTACACCTAAACGCAGGATTTATTTCTTGCACGTGTCCCACTCCTCTCGCCCACTGTCCCAGCCCACCTCATGTGGACTGTCCAAGGGGCTTCCACCACCTGAGGCAGTGCTGGCCCTCTTCCTGCACCCCTTCGCACCCCCCCACACACGTGAATCCCCTCAGACCCCATGTCCAGGCACCCCCTGACACCCAAGCACCTCCCCAAATCCCAGCTTCCCCCTACACCTCCCTCCCCACAGAGCCTCAGCTCCCCCCAGACCCCTCCCCTCACTCTCAGGTCCCACCCCCCAGCCTCAGCTCCCCCCAGACCTCCACACAACCACTCTCAGCTCTCACCCCAAAAAAATCTCACCTCCCCCTACACCCCACACACACAGCCTCAATTCCCCCCCAGACCCCCCCTTCACACCCTCAGCTCCCCCCCAACAGCCTCAGCTCCCTCCATGTCCCCCTCCTCACACCCTCAACTCCCTCACCCTGCCTCAGTGCCCCCCAGAACCTCCCTAACACCCTCAGCTCCCCCACCCCCCCCCCCCACACAGAGCCTCAGCTCCCTCCAGACCCCCCTCTCACACCTTCAGCTTCCCCCAGACCCCCCCCTCTCAACCCCTCAGCTCCTCCCAGACCCCCTCCCCCTACCCACACACAGAGCCTCAACTCTCCCCAGACCCCCCCCTTACACCTTGAGCTCCCCCCCAGGCCCCCTCCTCATACTCTCAGCTCCCTCCCAACACCCTCATCTCCCCCCAGACCCCTCACACACACCCTCAACTCCCTCCCCCAGCCTCAGCTCCCCCTACACCCCCCCCTCACAGCCTCAGCTTCCTCCCAGGCCCCCACCTCATACTCTCAGCTTCCCAACACCCTCACCTCCCCCAGGACCCCTCCTCACACCCTCAGCTCCCCCCAGACCCCCTCCTCATACTCTCAGCTCCCCCCAACACCCTCATCTCCCCCCAGACCCCTCACACACCCTCAGCTCCACCAGGCCTCCTCATACCCTCAGCTCCCCCCCCTACACACACAGGGCCTCAACTCTCCCCCAGAACTCCCCCCCCCTTTGCACCCTCAGCTCCCCCCCAGGCCCTCACCTAGTACTCTCAGCTCCCTTCCTCCAGCCTCAGCTCCCTCCAGACCCCCCCCTCACCCCTTCAGCTCCCCCCCAGGCCCCCTCCTCATACCCTCAGCTGCCCCCCTACACACACAGGGCCTTAACTCTCCCCCAGACCCCCCCCTCATACCCTCAGCTCCCCCCCAGGCCCCCTCCTCATCCTCTCAGCTGCCCCCCAACACCCTCATCTCCCCCCAGACCTCCCCCCCACACCCTCAGCTCCCCCCCCAGACCCTCAGCTCCCCCACCCAGCCTTAGCTCCCTCCATGTCCCCCCCACACCCTCAACTCCCTCCCCCAACCTCAGCTCCCTACACACACATAGAGCCTCAACTCTCCCCCAGCCCCCTCCCTCACCCCCTCAGCTCCCCCACCTCATACTCTCAGATCCCCCCAACACCCTCATCTCCCCCAGGCCCCCCCACACACCCTCAGCTTCCCCCAACCCCCCCCTCCTCACACTCTTAGCTCCCCCCCAGACCCCTCCTCACACCCTCAGCTCCCTCCCCCTGCCTCAGTGCCCCCCAGACCCCCCTTCACACCCTCATCTCCCCCAGACCCCCCCCTCACCCCCTCCAAATCCCCTCTTCCCCATCTCCCCCCTCACCCCTTCATCACCCCTCATCCCCTCACAGGGGGGGGGACACCCAACGGCCGTCCCAGCGCATGCGCAGCCGCCCTCCCCCTTCCCCCCCTCAGGCCGGGGGGTCCCGCAGCGCCCCGCCCCGGGCACCACACGGCGGGCGGCCTCCACCGGGAGCCCACAGCTCCTCACAACCCCCTTTTTTATTCCCTTAACGCTCCCCCTTCCCCATTTTTCCCCCTTTTAGGATGAGGCCGAGCTGCTAGCGAGGTGTGGGGGTAAAAAAATAAAAAAATAAAGGAGGTGAAGCCCCCCCCCCCCCCCCTTCAAATCCCCATCCCCTCACCTGACGGGGTCGCGGGGGAAGCGGAAGAAGGCGAGGTCGGACTGCGTGCTCTTGCGGGTGCAGTTGGGGGCCGCGCAGAAGTTCGGCATGGCCACAAGGAAAAAATAATAAAATAAATAAAAATAAATAAAGCCCTCCCCCTCCCCCCACGCCGATAGAGGAGGAGGAGGAGGAGGGGGGAAGCGGCCCCTTTAAATCCGAAAGGGGGAGGGGGGGGGGAAGGGGGGTGGAGGAGGAAGAGGAGGAGGAGGAAGATGAAGAGGGGGGCGGTTGGGGGGGGGGGGGGGGAGCGGCTCCACAGTGCTGTGAGCGGCCGGGAGGATTCACCGCCGGGACGGGGAGCGCGCCGGGGCCGCCTCCTTCCCACAAGGCGCCGCGCGGCAGCGGGGGTGCTTCCCGCCGAGCCGCGCGCCTGCGCGGTAATGGGTAAAAGCGGAGGGGGTGTTGCGCGGGAAGGTGCGCGGCGCATGCGCGGAGAGGGAGGGTGAAGGCAAAGTGTGTGGGGGGGTGAGGGCAAGGCCTAGGGGCGTTAATAAGGGGTTAAATCACTAATTAATGCTTCGTTAATCAATAATTAAGGCTCTAGGCTGCTTGTAGACGCTCTGTAGGCTGAGGAAGAGCTAAGACTAACGTGGCAACCCCATCCAATGGGTTAATTCCTCGTTGCCAATAAATTCAGGCTCCTGAGGTTTTATCACAGAATCACAGAATTTCTAGGTTGGAAGAGACCTCAAGATCATCGAGTCCAACCTCTGACCTAACACTAACAGTCCCCACTAAACCATATCCCTAAGCTCTACATCTAAACGTCTTTTAAAGACTTCCAGGGATGGTGACTCCACCACCTCCCTGGGCAGCCTGTTCCAGTGCCTAACAACCCTTTCAGTAAAGAAGTTCTTCCTAACATCTAACCTAAAACTCCCCTGGCGTAACTTTAGCCCATTCCCCCTCGTCCTGTCACCAGGCACATGGGAGAACAGGCCAACCCCCACCTCACTATAGCCTCCTTTAAGGTACCTGTAAAGAGCAATAAGGTCGCCCCTGAGCCTCCTTTTCTCTAGGCTGAAACAAGCCCAGCCTCCTCAGCCGCTCCTCATAGACTTGCCTCTCCAGGGCCCCTCACCAGCTTCGTCCCCTTCTTCTGGACCCGCTCAAGTCAGCCTCCAGCACACCTAGCCAAACTCGATTCCCCTCTTGTAGCGAGGGGCCCAGAACTGGAACACAGTACGCGAGGTGGCGGCCTCAACAGAAGCCGAGTACAGGGGGAACGAGCACCTCCCTAGCCCTGCTGGTCACAGTGTTTTCCTGATACAAGCCCAGGATGCCGTTGGCCCGTTGGCCTTCGGGCCAACCTGAGCACAACTGCTTGCTCAAATTCAAGCCGACTGTCCCACCATCACTTCCAGGTCCGTCTCTCCTGGCACAGCCTGCTTTCTAATTTAATTAATTAATTCCTTATTCACTAAATTGTGGTGCCTTCAAGAATCACAGTGCTTAAAATCAATAAATCTGCACTTGATACTACATAAACAAGCTGATTTATTATAGTTTTAGCTAGTTTATAGTTTACAAACACAAACTGTACAGACAATATAAGTAATAAACACTATATTATGTTCGTTCAAGTATGTGTTATATTGAGTAAGTATACCCTAAAAAATGAACTTTTTTGCAGAATGAGGTCATGACCTTTTTATCTGGTGTATCCTGTTTTCTCTTTTAGGGAGGTGTTAATCCACAGCCTGGACGGATATCGAGACGAGCCAAGAGCTGAAAAAGAGTATTATAAGTAATAAAGTAAATGAAACAGGGAGTATACCTACTGTGAAGACTTCATCAGCTCTATCATAGGCAAAAATAAAACAGAGCTTAGAGGAAAAAAATAATAATAATAAAAAAAAAATAGGAAACAGAAAAGTAGATAGTTAGAAGAAGAGACTCATTCACCAAGAATGGCCTGCTGGTAATTTGAGGAATTAGACCCAGCAGCTTTGAAATGTATAAATGGTGATGTCAAACAAGAATTGTTTCAGATACAGTAGCACTGTTGTGCAAGAGTTTAGCTTTGATGTAGACATCTCTTACATACCTTTAAAGTCATGGGAGAAGAATCCTGACAAGGAGACTTAGCGGGATTATGGAAACATAATCTATATATACAAAACAGACAAAGAATGTGTCTTTCAAAACAGTGAATAAAGTTGTTTGTTTAAAGAAAAAAAAATGTGGAAAAAAAAAATACATATCTTTGATAGGTCAGTTCTAATTCAGGTAAATTTGTTCTTTGATTTCCTATGCAGATTGCATGAATGTTCATGCTCATGCAGGAGAGAGCAGGATCATTTTTGGTTGAAGAAATAGTTGAGGAGCATGAATGTATAATGTTAAGCTCCGTAATTTAAAAACACTTTTAAAACCTGTTTCAGTATGAAAAAATAATTATTCACCCTTAATTAATAACAAAATTGTTAGTTTATTTTACCCAAGAGCAAAGGGCCTTTTTCCCTTCAAATTGATTCTCCAAACAGAGGGATTGTGTGTAGAACCTACTTTGAGGATTCTGAAAAGCCAAATGAGAAGATTATAATGGCAGCATTAAAAAGAAATTAATCCTGGCACGTATTTCTAAATGGCTACTTCTCATCAAAACTTCAGTTCATATTCTATCGTGTCAATCACCATAGAAGCATGTTGTAGCTCTTATGTTCTGGATGTGTATATATATGTATATAGGATTTCCTAATTAAGTGGATGGAATGGCTTATGCTTAAAGTTAACTTACTGAAGTTTGCTGGATGGTACTTTTATAAGGAGAGCAATTTTTTAAGTGATTTCCATTGAACGGAAACAAAAATCAATTGCTTTCAAAAAAAAATATTACTCAAAGTATGTTCTCTTAAAATCAAATTAGTTTATATTACTTAGTTGGAAGTTCCAAAAATTAGCTTCTGTTGTGGAGTACAGACATCATTGACACCTTTTCTGTGTAGCCTCTGAAAACTGAATGCATAATTTGTATGTTGATTTTTTTAAAAAACTTTAGATTATTCAAGTATTGTTCACAATTACATTTCCAAATTTATCTCTATATTCTCTTCACATTTAATAGAGATTACGTACTGTAGTAGTAGTGTTGTGCAAGTCATCTGTATCATCTGGATAAATTATTAAAGGAATTGTGTGTGTTCATACAGATTTTTAATTGCTTCATTTCTCCCCTCTTAAAGTTATCTGTCTATTAAATCCTGGACTCTGTGTAACATTACAGTGGTTGCAAAAGAATCTCTTTAATTTATTTCTGGAAATGAGCTGGGTGTCTCTTTGACAAGGCGAAGCTTAGTATGCCTTTATTTTCTAATAATACCGTTCAAGTGTGATTGTGGTGTTCTGGAGGCTTCCTGTTAATAAAACTTTAAAAATGCTTTGCAACAGAATATTTGTAGTCTAATTTGCTGTAATGATTCTTTGTTACATAATCTGTCACAAGCCCTACAGCCGCATTGTTGGTGGGATGACCTGTCTGTAGGAACTGAAGAGACATCAGGTTAATCCCACAGATGTATCTGTGCTCCCTTTGAGACATGATTTTATGTTTATGTTTTTTTTTGTTTAAGATTTTGGAGAACTGGAAGGCAAAGGTAGGGAATAACCAATCCTTATGTACAAGAGGACCTCTGAGACCATGCTGGTGATGTACATGCAACATAACTGCAACTGTAAATTGGAGTAATGCAGAATCCTGGTGCCATCATCACAGTTTAGCTTTTTGCAAATTATAGTTACCGTATCTAGGATGACATTTTAGGTCATCAGACCCATCTCCCACTGCATTTTCCCTGTTTTACTGGAATCCGTTTCATGGAAGTCGTGGCTGATTCAAAGAACACTGGGTTTTGAAGGTTTAGTATCAAGTCTTCGATACAGGAAAACACAGAGGGTGATTGGCTTTGTGCCACTCAACTTTTATGCGAGGGTGCAGACTGTGTCAGTAAGGGTCTGCCAAAATAATGTGATTTTGTGTGCTGCCATAGCTTTCCAGATAACCTGTACTGAGCTATTTACTCCAAGCTGCCTGTATTCTGGACTACAGCTCTTCATCCCCACGTAGGAAGCAGCCTTCTTAGTTACGCTCTGCGCTCAGTCTTCACTTCCACCTCAGCTGCTGCAATTTCTGAAGCGTTCCTCCAGCCAAAGCAGACGATTGCAACGTTCTGTGCTGCTCTGTGGGCAGCGCACGCTGGCGGAGCCATATCTAGCTTCCTGGCAGAGCTGCACAAAGCAGCAACCAAGCGAATTCCTGCCCATCTGCCCCTGTGTGCAGGCGTTAATTTTTAATTGTTGATGCTAACCTTAATTTACAGCCCTTGTGTTTCCTCAATACCTTGTCTTGATTGCACAATATATTGATATGAGTACATAGAGACAGAAAAACTTCCAAAACAAATAGTAGCTAATCAGGCACTGTCGGATGTGTGTTTAATATGGGTGCCACAAGGTATGTTGCCACTTGGCCAAATTCTTTTCTACATCTTCATCAATCCATTTTTTTCCATGGGTGTTTTCATCTTGCCTCAATACCGTGTGTTTAAGTAAATTTTCATTTGGAAGGTGTTCTGGCATGGAATACTCCAAAATTGGCTGGATAAGTGATCATATTGCTAGGAAAAATAAGGACAGTGGCTGTCCAGATAAGGAAATGCTGGGTGTCATCAGCCATTAGGTACTGCACTCTTTAACCATTTCTCCTACGGTCAATCGAGCTGCTTTAGTTGTCCAGTCTCTGTAATGTGATCGAATATATCCTTTACAGTGGATACAATCCCTTGCTTCTCTAGCATTCATTTTTAGTGCATCCAGCCTTGTAAAAATATTTATGTCTAAACTGGGAACAAGTCATTCAATCACGAGTTGACTTCAGCTTAGAAGCAATGCCAAGTGTGCTGGGTGAAAAGTGCAACTGCAGAGAAGGTGCAAGCTTACCTAAAATACAACATGGATCAGTTGCTATAGTGGCTAAATTCTGCTGCATGCTAATCTGGGTTAAATGCCCTAAATTGCAGCCGTGTTACCCACAGTTTGCAGTACATGTATGTGGCCACAGGAAAGGACACGAGTTACAGTGTACCAATACCTTTAATAATTTTATTTTTTCCATGCTTTCTCTCTTGAGAAGTGCCTTTTCTCCTTTATACATTCTTAACACATATTGAATGCTACAACGA